TTATGAAAGTCCAATTCTCGTTCGCCTTTCAAAACCTATTTTGCAGGGGTCAGTAGTTAATGGTGACTGACCGAAACTGAATTTCCAGAAGATTCCAAGACTTTTTATACTTAGGAGAATGTACAGAATTTCCTGATATTCATAGGCTTACAGAATTATATGAGCACCTGGACTATTACCTCTCGTAATTTATGTTTTTGATTAACAATGGCCTTCTCAATCAAGATACTTATAGAACTTTTTTCATTGCTAGCTCTTTACACTACATTACTACACAATTACTATAACCTAAACGTACAGTAACGATCATGATGATTCCTACTTATTTCATAAACATCCTAAAATATCTATTTGGCTGCTGTGAGGCTGCCAAGTTCAAAGTTAAATGTAACAGGAATCAAATCAGATCAGATGATTTGGACTGGTTCAGTACAATTTTCAATGGGATTAATGTGATACTCTTGGCTGACCTAGTTTTCATTTTGCTAGCATTGGCACTTTTGCTATAAGCCCAATTATATATTTATTATGTATCTAGGTGTTTTTTGTTATTACTGTTTATACAAGGAGACGAAAATCTACTTTTCAATGGCGCATTTGGATCAATAATGATAACCACTCAAGTTAGTAGTGCAACAATCCGTTACTTCAAAAAATGCAATCGTTATTTGTCGGACGAGTTAGATAAGTTTTAGAAATTAATTAATTAACAATGTTTTCCTAAATCCGTTAGTGGATTCCTAGTAAAACATCGCTATCTTTTTCATCGATTCTAAAAAGGATCCTCATGAATCCCGTTTTTGATCATCCTACCACGAAGACCTATCACTTACAATGTACAGCACCAAATCTTCTTTTTGTATCTAAGTCCCTTTACTCCGACTCCACTCTGTGAGCCACCCTTCTCCATGCATTTCGGCACAGAGCCTTCTCTGTACATGCGATTACTCCTAACATCCTTAATTCATCATTAACACTATCCACCCATTTCTTCCTAGCCATTTTCCTCTTTTTCTTTCCTCCCCTCCCTTCTTGCAGTGCTCTTCTGGCATGTCTATCATCTTCCTTGCGAGCTACGTTCCCTAACCATCTAATTCTTTGAGGCTTGACTGATTTCAAAATAGATGAATTCCCATACATTTCAGCTACTTCATCATTTAACATCCTTCTTCGTAGACCTTCACTAACTTCAACCCCCCCAAAGATCCTTTTAAGAGTTTTTCTTTCCCTCACCTGTAATTTAACTTCGACACTAGCCAGGAATCACATCCGTGCATAACCGTAGGCTTAACTACCAATTTATATAGCCGTATGTTTGTTGCTATTGAGACATTTTTCGCTTTGAAAGAAGGATGATGAAAGGAAGCAAATCGTTGGAAATTCTAAATAAAATATTCATTCGGAAATTGGAAGAAGGCTGATGAAAGGAAGCAAATCGTTGGGAATTCTGAATAAAATATTCAATTTCCGCAGATTCATCACATTTACTTGTCACTTGCACCCCCAGATAATCAAATTCACTCACGTTCTCTAAGCGAATGTCTCAATCTTCTGTATCTAGCTTAATATTGTTTTTTTAGGCCCTACTCTTCTTAGTTTTCCATATATTTTGTTTTATTCTTATTTATCCGTAGTCCATATCGCCTTGCGGTTTCCTGTAGCTTCTAGTTCATTCCTAGATCTAGTTAATATAACTATATCATCGGTATATAGATAATTTCTTTTGTTTGGATGATTGTTTCTCTTAAGATAGCTTCTAAAACCAAGTTGAATAGAATAAAATGAGCTTAAAAGCTTATATAGACATGTTTTCTCTTGACTCTCAAAAAAGTCATCGACGGTTGCTTTTAGACCATCATCTGAGTTAAAACGGCGTCCTCGACGATTTTGAATTAGTAATATAAAGACAAAAAGGTCAAATGGTACCAAGTCCGGACTATAGGAAGGATGGTATATCTCAACGGAGCTGCATTTCTGCATAATTGTTCTAATTTTATCTATAAAAAGGTACAGTGAAATAATAAAACTCATTTAAAAAGCAATAACAAATACAGCACATATCAAAATTCTAAGTCCAAGAACTTATGGTATGAATAAAAAGCATTTTCAGCAAGGAAACTTCTTATTGTCTGTTTAAAGGCATTTAAACTTAAGGATCTGATTTGCAGCGGTAATTCATTGTAGTATTTGGGTGCAGTAATTTTTAACCTTTTTTGACTTTTCGTTAATCTTACAAAAGGAATATTTAAGTTCCCAGCACTCTTTGTATGATAGTCAATATGTGGGGTATACGAACAGCAAATTAAATACTGTTTAGCATACATCAGTGCTTCATAATCATATAATCATAAGGCGATGTGAGTATCCTCAATTCTTTGAATGCTTCTTTGCAATCATCAGTATAATTCAGTAAGTACAATATCCTAATTGCCCGCCCCTGTAAAGATACCATATGATATCAAAGAGTGGCATAGAGTAAGGTAAACTGACTTTAACGTATCACTATTCAACTCATACGATAAGCTTCTGAGTAGGTAAATTGTTTTCTTAGCTTTTTTGCACTTTCATTACTGTGTATGTCCCATTTCAATTTCTTAGCTACGTGTACACCTAGAAATTTTGTACGTTCTTTATGTTGTGTTTCTGGATCTTTCGATGAAAATATCATATTAACTGTTTCAGGGTCAACTAATTTGCATCAAACCAGTTTTTGGTAAGAAGTTCAGAAATGTCTTTTGATCTAACAGAGATGTCAGTATCATCAGCAGATAGTATCATCAAAATATAAGACCATTTGTCTCATCGAGCATTTTTCGTAAATTTTGCTGAGAATAGGAAGTAATGATATTGGGCGATTGCTTGCGATATCGTCAGTATCGCCACTTCTGAAAACCGGTATCACTACTGCACGTTTTAAGCAGTCCGGAAATATGCCACACTCAATGCAAGTATTTATTAATTTGGTTAGAGGCATTATGATTTGATTTTTGATCATTTTTATCAAAAGAGTGCTCATATCATAAATATCTTTAGAGTTATTTCTATTAAGAGAATTGATAGCACCTCTGACGTCATTAAATGATACTTTTTTAGAGTTGAAGTGGCGCATTGGTGGAAGTATATTACTTTCTGGATGTAGCTCTCCTGCATCCAAGTTTTCTAACAGTTTATTCGCAATGGTACAGAAAAAGTCGTTGAATTCATTTGGTTCTTTTGACGTATCCGTACCAGTGCTTGTATTTTTGTTTTTTCTAACAACTTCCCACATAGACTTCATTGGATTGTTAGACCTTTTAATGATTTGTTCATTATAATTTTTTTTTCATTGCATTTATTTTGTGTTTATATTTTTCTAAATATCTAATCTTTTTCGGTTGATTGCTTTCCATATGTTCAATGAGAAGAATACTTCTGATGTCCCAAGAAACTGTTGCCACTAATTTTTCAGCAGACTGCTGCGTCCGTGCCTTTTTGGAGGTTTTGAGACAGTGATGCCTCAAGTATCTTCGCCCCTTTTGTTCCAAAAAATCAGAATTATTGGTCAAAGTTTCCAAATGACTATCAAATTTCCAGCCGGCGCGACTTATATTCAGGTGTCAACAGTCGTGGAATCCACCTGGCCGTAATCTTACTCAATTGTGCAAAATAGTTATCGTGCTGGGTTCTGGTACATTCAAGGTCAACCAATGGTAAAGATCTTCACATGACGATCTTCGAGAAGTATGCCTTCAGCTTTTTGAGTCGTTTCACCGTTTGTAGATGTTTTGGGTTTTCCACTTCTGGGATCGTCTTTCATTGATACATGCCCCTATCGAAACCGTTTCTACCAAAATTTTTATTGTGATACTAGCTGACATGGCAGACGTTTTCCTGTGTCCGCTATGAACGGGGATGGATAATGAATAATGAAAGGGTAAATATATGGAATAAAGGTAACTGTATTGCGAAGTGTTTGTACCGCCATGTGGCTAGCAAAATACGTTGTCAGCACTGTCATTCCCCCATCAACTTACCTTGAAAGTAGGCATAAAGTTATGTGGAATTAATTTTGTTGCGCCAAATGACGTCATTTGAAAGCAATTATTGTACTGTTGGATATGAGTGAAACAATGTATAGAATCTGGACCATTTCTGGAAACCAATGAATTTAGTCACACTGGTGGTAGTACCAATTCCCCAATGGAGTCAGTTTGATCTTTCCACCAACTCAACATAATCCCGGGGCTTTATTTTAGAACTTGAAGGCCTTACAATGTGGACTCACAACGTTCATTGGTCCAATAGCAACGATCTGTTATGAACTGTAATCGATTACTACGTCATAGTTGGAGATTAAGTGCGACACTTAGTGAGGAGTGAAAGTCAATTAAACAGAAGAAACGTACTTCTATCCGCCATTTTTAGTTAACGGACAAAGATAACAATTAGGCAACACTGCAGTTTCTTTTGAAGGGGCCATCACAAAGTACGGATGGTAAAGGAATGTAAGATCGAAAACAGAAGGACCGTGTTTTCATAATCAATTTTCTGTCACATAGCTAACTGTCAATAGCTGTTGGAATAAAGATGGCGAAGAGGAGTGCCTGTCTTTTTTCGTATCTGAGATATTCCTTTTGCTGTGCGTGCTCAAGTTATGGCGTCACCACGCGAAACAGGGATTCATTTTTATATATATAGATGGTGGTGTATCATTCCCACAGACGGCAACAATTCTCTTAAGAATCATTTTTAGCTGGTGGCCCTCACTTGTCGGAAACTTTATGACACTGCGATACCCTAATTTTAAGTTACACATCTTTCCTCACAATTCACTTTATAAATTGGAAAATAATTATCAAAATTAAATCAAATATTGCAACTCACGTTAGAACACTTGCGCCACTATTTGACATATTATGCTTGTGCGTTTCAATTGTTTTTTTGTGGATATTGTAACCTTCTTTTGTCCATCGTATTTTACCCTCATTATGAGTTTCAACAGTACGGTATTACTCTTACAGATGGAGCTCACTTCAGCTGACACGCTCTTCAATATCACAACAGAAAGCAACATCATCATGAACCTTGACAACGATCCGTTTGGTGAAGATTTCCCTGATGCTTCACCACAACAGTTTCTCAACTGCAATAACTTCGCAACAATCAGCATCATCGTAAGATACATCTTATGCATCCTGTTCATGTGCGCCAACATCTTCTTGGCTACAGTTATTCTCAAGTTTCCGAGTTTGCAAACCAGGACCAACAAGTACATTTTTCATATGTGTATTTTATATACTTCGTTTTACTTGCTTCCGATATTGTATGCTATAATACGAATGTTTATAAGTTGGAAAACTGACGGTGCCACATTGTTTGTGACTCTTGATTCTGCACTTTGCTTATACATAACTGTCGCCTTTCTGTTAAGTGTAGATTGGTTTGTTTTTGCATTAGTACCTCACCTAGAAGACGAATACGATAAGTACTTCAATAATGTTTTAGTAGGGATTTATATTGTTTTTATGATTGAATGGATATATTCAATAGCTTTTCACGAAAATTATCACAGAAATGTTACTAGACCATTAAGATTTGCTTTACTTTATTTATTGTACATTTTGCTATTGACTGTAATGAATATCATGAAGAAGCGTATGTCAGTAGACTTTATGCCAGAAGACCGAGAATATGCTTTCACAGTATCAAACATTACTCTATTCAGCTTCTTGCCAACTCTAATTTTTCACATTGTAGACGAGTTACTCCATCATCTGGATCTTAAGTTTTATCTTTATCTGTGTTACATAGAGCCATTTCCATCTGTAGTAGCTATGGGCCATCCAGCGTTAGTTCTGTATACTTTGTATAAGAAGGACAAGCGCTTTAAGATGGCTTTTGACAAAATGTTTAAAAAGTCAATGAGAAATTATAGAGGCGCTGACTTAGATGCATCCTTAGATGATGATTCTGAAAATATGCAAACGAATAGAAATAGAGTAGTGTAAATAACACAGAATTGGAAAAGCTCCTTTGTTATGTTCTGCAGACAGCGTAAATTTTTCAAGCTAATTGCTTCCCAGTCGTAAAGTATATATTTTTGTTTTAGTTTTTTAGAAGCATGGTGCAAAAAATAATTTGGACAACTCTGTGAGACATTATTGTGGCTTCAATCTTGGTGGCTCTTGTAAGTTGAATAGGATCTGGGTGATGCTGGCTTCTCCGACCTCAACCAGTTGTTTCATGCTTTCTAGCAATCATCAGCACAGTCTAGGTTTCGTCGTTTTGAGATCATAATACTGAATTTAGACTCATATTCGTTTGTCTGCTTTCCGTCATCTGTATTCAAATGTCTCGACTTATAAACGCACTGACGATTACTACAAAGCATATCCTATCTTAATCTCCCCTAAATGTTTAGAAAACTATACATCACAGAAAAAGTTTCAAAAAAAAAGTTGTAGAGTTTCGACGGTGCACGATGATGGTGGGCAGTACAATAACCGCAAGGTCGGCAGCGATCTTTAAGGTGATCACAAGGTCAAGCGAATATTTTCAACTGGAACTCTCCCTTTTTACACCGGAATTGTATAGAGAAGGGAATTTTACGTTCGAGTATGATGTTGACTGTGACTATCACCACAACCTTCAAGGCAATTTCAAAGATAACTCATCACATTGAAAACAATTTACTGTAGCAAACATTTTTGTCAACATCGAGGGTTTATAAGTAATATTCAAGTTTGACAAGACCTTAACCATAACCAGGTTATAGTCAAGGCCATATTTCGTCATAAAATGAAGGGCTTCCTTAAAAAATGTTGACTTGACCTGGACAGCCATGGTCGAGGATATGTCAAGGTCACCTTTGGATGACACCCACAAGCCGCACAACTGTCGAACATTTTTGCCAGAGTAATGTGTTTTCAATGTCTTGAGTTGTCTTTGAAATTGCCTTGAAGGTTATGGTGTTAGTCATCGTCAAGATCATACTCCCCTTCTCCATACAGGGTAAATAGCTTTCAATGTCTTTGTTTGAACATGAAATGACTTTGAAATTCATGGTTATGGATAAAAGGGGAATCCATTCAAATTTATTCGATTCACCTTGAAATGACCTTAAATGTCGTGGTGAAGGTCCTCCTGAAAGTCCTACAACTTTTTTTTCATGCAAGATTATAATGGGACTCCTGTATAAGATTGTTAATGGACGCAAATATATCGTATTCAACCTGTGTCTAGCTTATGCAACCTTTGAATAGTACTTCAAAGCTAACAGTATGATCAGCACTTACTACTCCTCTGAGTAGAAGAGAAGAGAACACTATCACTGAGGGAAATTGTGGTTTCCTGCTGACGTACGTAGGGGTCGATAGTACCGTGGTGGACGAAACTACTCAGAGGAAGCAGTGTCATGTTTATATTTTGACCTTTTATGTGTCAGTATTTATGGTTTGGATAAACTGAACCTGTCACTTTGACATAAATAAATGCTTCTGTACTATACAGCCTTATTATATTACTGATGGTCAATTACAAACCTTGATTTAATTTTTGTGATAAAGATGCTACTCTCTAGCGATGCTACGGAGCCTCTCATTGAATGTTATAATGCTTACCAATAAAATAAGCATCCAGATATGGAAATTAATATTAGGTACTGAACATTAATTATTATTATTAGACAATAATCTGACTCATGGTATATAACTTATTTGTGAGAATTTAATCAATCTAAATTGATATTTAAATCGCGTTCTCATCCACATTACGTATTATTGATGTAAAAATGGTGGAAGAGTATACAACCCCTAATGTAGCATTCATACATTGTGGCCAGCCTAGGCTAATATCAATGTGTGGACGTTAAGCCAGTCCATGTTGGCAGGGGTTGACCAACGCTGCCGTTCAATGATAGCATGTTCTAACAGAAAAAAAAGATGCGCTAGCTTGGCCTTTTGGTGCAGTGGTAGAACCGACAAGGTACCGACTTCAGTTCCTGACAACAGCAGGTATTTATTTCCATTTCTTCTAGTCCGTAAGTGGCAGTGTTGCTAATATTTAGATGTATTATATAAGCTATGGCGAAAATACAAGAGATACATATAATCGGTCACGAGCATAAGAATTTGATGATTTAGGTACTTGATTTAACGTGGCGGAGATGGCATTTGAATAGGGTAATACGGTATAGCGATGCTAAATTACCCAAAAAATAATTTTATTTAAACACCTTTGAGTTGAGTCTTGAAGAGCGAAATCTCTAAGCTCTTGACAAAACTATTTCACGTGACCTAAGCAACATTTGTATAAACCCATAACAAGCACAATACTTTTTTTACTCAGTTAAGCGCATTTATGGATGGACTAAGCACAGCTTTATTTTATAAGCAAAAGTAGATATGAAAATATAGAAAGAACTGTTGTAGTTTCTTAACAACTTTCTTCTATATATTATATTTACAGGACCGTAGCAAAAAAATAAAAAATCATAAAGCTTTTCAAAAGTTCTTCCTCTTTACGGTAGGACCTGGAACTTCTCGTCGTGCTAAAGGAAACTATTGCAGTTACCTGAATCCAAATTTTCATCCATCACAGAATTTTGGAAGGGTTTGGGCCAATACTAGATACAGGGTGCGGCAGAGAGGATGGACGGTTTTAAAAAAATCATAAAATAGTTCATTTTTATTCGAAAACAAATTTATCGATGGAATCAGGTTCACAAGGAAATAGCATTTGAGACGGTCAAGTGTGGAAAATCACATCAGGCGTGTGGTGGCCGAAATCGTTGATGCAGTGCTGGAGGCGTTCTTGGAAGTTGGCGTAGACTCTCTCCATCATCGCTCTCTCAACTTGGGCGACTTCCACGCGAATTTCGCTTTTCAATTCGTCCAGAGTTCGGGGCTTGTTCGCGTATATTCTAGCCTTGAGATGTCTCCAGAAGAAAAAATCGCATATGGATAAATCTGGGGACCGAGGAGGCAATGAACATCGCCAAACCTGGAAATAAGGCGACCAGGGAAGAGAGGGCGAATAACGTCCATGGATGCTCGGGCTGTGTGGGCGGTCGCCCCATCCTGCTGGAACCACACACGTCGGATTGGAGTACTACCCATCCCAAAAACGTCCGTCCTCTCTGCCGCACCCTGTATAATGTGCGGACGCTAAACCATTCCACACCGGCCGGGGTTGACCAAGGCTAATGTGATGACTACATCTCTCGGGAGCACCACGGAACAACCCACTTGATCACAATTATAACTTCGTCGTTGCTATTGATAGTTCCGCCCCTCGGCCGGCCGGGTCCTACAGCCCCTGTTAGCCAGTTCCGCGTTGACCTCCGCGCTAACAAATATCGTTAATTCAAACTGTATTTATCTAGTGTGTGGAACATATCCGCTGTTACTGAACCGTCAATCTTGATTCGAGTTTGTGTTTTGTGTGGGCGCATCGACCCAAATCTCGGCATCCTAGTGTGATGACTCCACCTATCGGGAGCACCATCGAACAACTCTCTTGATCAACGATGACACCTTCGTCGTTGCTATTAATAGTTCCGGACACTATAACCACCGCCAGTCAGTTCCGTGCGGATCTCCGCGCACGTATTTAGTGTGTGGAAAATATCCGTTGTTACTGAACCATCTACACTCTTCCGCAATCACACCCAACCGACATACTAAAATTATCGTTGAAGGATAGCATGTCATAACATGTAGATTGCAGTCGGATTGGTTGCGCAGGGCAACACGCATGCTTTAACCTTTATGTTCACATAACAGAGAGACAACAACGCATTAAAATATAGAGGTTTAATGAGGCCTTAATTTTGACGAGCAGTTTATATGATCTCGCAATTAATCAGTTTGAGCCGCAGTTCTCCGGGTTTACTGCACCAATCAACGAAGGAGCATGTCGTATATGTGTTTCGGTGCATCCACAAGTTGTTTACATCGCAACTATCTATATTTATCTCTATTACCAGTATGTGTATCCCGTGCATTAGTGCGGTCCATTTGGGCCTTGGTCCACATTTCCAAGACTAGAGAGCTTTTAGTGCAACAAAAATAACGTACCGTTAAACCTCATGTTACGTTACTGTGATAGCAAATAACGAATGTCGAGGACCACTAAAGTGAACAGTAGTAATTAGACAGTACGACTACTGACAGTCACGACAAGTTGCTTATTTTTTTCGATTTTGACGTGAACCTAACCTAGAATTTAAAAACCTTGTTAAATTTTCTCAAATAGTAGTTTTGGTAATATTTGCATCCAAACCGGACAGGACATTAGAATTAGGTTTAGAATCACATAACAAAAGAACGAAAAATTATCAAAAAACCAGCAAAACTGCAATAAAACGCTTCCTTGTCACATTGCACATATAACAGAGATCGGGACAATAAAATTTATTTAGAACACTGCCTACTTCTTGCAATCATTTTTCTCTGCGATCTGAAACCAATAATTTTATTATATTTTAACCAATATGTATACAGGGTGACTTTGAAGTTGAGTCATTAATTTTCAGATAATGATTGTAGAAGGAAGATAAACCAAAATATGTGTGTAAAAATAAAAAAAAAATAAAAAAAAAATGTTACCTTGTTTAATAAAGTATCCTCCCGACAAGTATTTCAGTGCGGACCTGTATTTGATCGTGCGGTCTTGGAGCAGCATGCCCTCACCTGTGAGGTCTTAAGTCACCTGATTCACGAGCCCTTTGTACTACATTAACAAAGGCACGAGGGGTTGGTTGCACTCGATTGGGAAACCGATTCGCATAAATCCGTGATGCATCCGGGAGCATTTTGTAAAGACTGCCCCCCCGTAAATAAGAATCATGTCCACAAGTTCAGCATTTTCGTAAACATGTGCCATTTTTGATTTCGTTTGAACCACGCAACACACTACTATTCACTTACGCGTTATCGACTGACGAAAAACATCGTGATAAACGTTTCAAATTCTTTCGCTTTTTTGTTTCCGATGCGATGAACCGGTCAGGCGGATTATATCCGTTGTCGCCAAACACGAGCATATAATAGGCAGGGCGGTACTCAAACTTCCAAAGGGCTATTACTTTGTTACTTTAATTTTACCAGAAAAATGGTAAAGGAAAAAAAACATTTCTTTTGATCAGATCTACTCACTGTTAAAATAAATGACTCAACTTCGAAGTCACCCTGTATATAATAAGGAATCATTTTAATTAAGCTTATCCAGCTTTACAAATTACGGCAACTGCGCTGAATAAGGAAGATATAACCTTGCCCTACCCTATTTTCTTTAACTAATAGACCTTTTTTATTTCGATACCGGATAACGGATGATTGTCGGGCTATTCAGCAAAATCTAACTAACGAAGCAGCAAAATAAAAGCACTAAAAACTCTCTATCGATATGGCGCTCGTTACGCAAAGTAAAAGTTTTCCCTCAACAATTGCAGAATGGGCTGCAAGTCATGAGCAAGGTTTCTGTCACCCAATCATGCTCCTCTTTACGGTTGCAAAAGAAGTATGTTCCTCCACAGGGAAATGAGATATTATTGTTTCTGGATGTTATATAATATGTACATCGCGAAAAACTATGTCTCTCATTTCCATTGATCTATCTGTTTGTCTGCTCGCTCATTCTGGAACCGCCTATAACATGGGAAGTACGGCTCGGATTTGGATGGCATTTCCATTCAAGGCCAGTATTAAATAAGAAAAAGCTTTGTTGTTGTTGAAAATCGGTCTAGTAGCGGCGGGGCTAGGGGGAAAATATGAAAAAGGTAAAAATCTCTCAAACTTCGTTTCTTTCTGACTTTCATAGGCACCACTTTTGTTGGGGTTGAATTCGGCGGTTGTGGCTTTACAACAGTTTTATTTATATGCTCCCAGCCCTGGAAATTTCATGTACCTGTTGGCCATGTTTCGTACATCATAGATTTTCCCGTAGATTTGCCTTTAAAACAGAATCCGCGTACTCGTGCTATCTAAGCTCACTGTCCAGCGTATCCGTCCAGATGACTAATGCATTCGCACTGCAGCGCACAAAAAGTATACACGAAATGAAGGATAACTCGCTACAGCGTAGCCGCGGTGGGCGCTGCCGCACAGATGTAGGGAGAAAGTTGTCAGATGGGCAGTAACTACCGGTAAGGCAAGGAAAGAATATCTAAGGACTAGTTGTATGTACCTGCTTAGAGATTTAACTTGTGCTGAGCTTAATCCTTTATGAAGGCCGCTTTGACGGTCAGCAGTAACTTGAACTTACTGAAGGTCAACTTTCCTGTCAAAACAAAGTTTCCGTTCACTATAGGGAAGGCAGAAAATGGGATGATTGAAAAGTAGGAAAACATTCTCTTGTATGGGTTGCTTATAGCTCAGTTCTCTAGCTACGCATATGTTAATGCATGATAAAGGCTTTCTGTTAGCTGTGGCATGCTGCCATTCTAAGGCGAATCCTGAATACGATCCCCAGAAGGGTTTTGATGATGAGTTGCGGATGGTCCACTCCAGGATAGGACACTGTGATACCGACTGTGATTAAATAACTGATATTTCTACATCAAGAATCATCTGTTCGTACCTTGTGATTCCATTAGATAAAGTGGCGAAATTTAGAAGAACTCGGTTTTGTAGAAGAGTAAGCGCAAATTGCATGTTTTCTTTGTCATTACGTCTTCGGTCAACTAATTGTTGTTTTGCTTTGTGTCGCTTGTAGGGTTTTGATTGACTGACGCGCTAATCAGTGGCGTATACTTAGATTACCTGGGTCCACAGGTTTGCCGAAAAAAAAAACAATAATTGTTGATTGAGGCGGAATGAGCTGCCCCACGCAGCCTACCGCCCATGGCTAAGGACGTTAATTACTGCCAATAACCTATATTTGCGAGGTTCCAATTTTGTTTATTGTTGTAGTTACGCCGTTTGAGCCACTGTTGGTTACTAGGTATTGGAGTAACACCGACGATGTCCAAAAACATTTTCTGGTCTAGCTCTCTGCTTGCTAGGTCGTCAGAATATCCCATCAAGGCAATTCGCGGCAACATCTCTAGCCGAAAAGCCCCAAAGTAGAACACGTCCCAGAGCAACGATTCTATGCCGTATCCCTGGCCACTACCACAGACACCTCCGTTCCATCTTGTTCAGATCTAGGCAACTTTTAACAAGGTTTTGTTTACACCGCAGCGCATGCAGAAGTCTAAATGCTAGGGCACCGCGGCTGCCAGGAGCGTAATCCAATTTTTGAACTACCTAACTACTGGCAAAGGTCAGACAGTCCTCGGGACCCTTTCGCACCGGCGCGGCTGGCCGTCAGGGATCTAGTTTTTTTCTACCGCTACACCAACGGGCTTTGCTCCTCACAGCTCTCTTCCATGATGCCGCCGCGCGATGTGCCTGCCATACAGACCCGCCTGACTTTGGCGTCCCATCCTAACCGTGTCGAACTTCGTACATCCAGAACTGGCCGATACGACCGTTCCTTTGTCCCGAGGGTGTCGAGATTGTGGAACAATCTACAAGAGGAAGCTTTTCCCAGTTCTGCTAGTCTTAGGCAGTTCAAAAGTCGTATTAACAAAATTTCTTTGGGATCATCATAGCAGCCGCGGTGTTCCGGCATTTAGGCTTCTGCCTGCCCAGCTGCTTCGATATAAAAAAAAGAGCAAAGCTACATCGGGCTGCTCTGACAGACAACGAGAAACAGTAAGTAACCTTCATTTGTGGTTTCATTTGGTGGCTAGCGAAACATATGGACATGGTAGTGGTCGTCCAGATATTTAGCGCTTGAACTTTGCCAAGACTTTATTATAAGAGAGTCATAGTGATCCGACATTCAGATTTTTTTTACGCGTCTGGTTGAGTATGGAAAAAAGCCATCAGAAAACATATTAATTCCCCTGTGCTAAAAGGCATCCGAATCCCCATCTAGAATAATTGTGTAGCGTGTCACTGTGATTCTGCCAACATAATCCAGTGTTGACTAGCTCCATTTTTGTATATTGTTTTGTCATCTGTTGTGTGTAAGCAAACTGATCACGTGTGTAGGTGAGGTCTCCAGCAATTTGCTATGTAAGTAGCCCGTTGAGAGAATGATAAATTAGTGAGCTTGTTTGGGTAAGCTGTTGTCTGTGTTAAGCTATGGGAATTGTTATGAATATACATGTACGAGGTACTGCAACATGGTTTCCACTTCTCGAGCGGAATTATATTGCTGCCTGGCAAGATGCAATTATGTAGTTTGGGTTGACTTAGTATAACAATATCTTGAAGCTCATGTTTGTCGTTAATAGTAGCATATATCCATCTTTCTAAGAAAATCAAGCTTCTTAAGAAAGTTGAACAAGCTTCCTTGAAATTTATTTAGCAAATGAACCTATTCAAGAACATTGTCTTTATAGTTGTCAGGGAGTGTAGTAAGCTACGCAGTGTTTGTGCTAATTTCTTTTCTACTTTATGCCTTTTCAAGGTTTTCACTCATGTTTTCAGTATATGGTATATGGTAATTTTGATCCGATCCTTCCTCAGATTGCGACTCTGCTTTCACTACTACAAAAATGGGTAAAAAGAACCTAACAGTCCGATAAACTACAATATACCATACGCAGTACGTACCATTCTCATGTTCGATGTGGTTGTAAGACAAACATCATGACTGCTCCTTCAAGTAGGCTCTAGAGTCCCATTTTTCTTCTACTGCAGTATCTGGAAGAATGATATGATTACCTAAACATGTTGCTTTCGTCCGTCCGACTAGAGACAGCTAACCATGGACAGCTGTTTCATGCTTTTTGTCAACCATCAGCATGGTCTTGACTTGGTTACTAGGACAACGAACGAAACAATAACAACTACAATCTCTATGAGGTACGAGACCCATCGAAATAGGTCAGCTCAAAGCGTCATCTGTTACCTTAATCGACCTGCAATAATGTGTAGCTATCGGTTGGAACTGTATAGATCTAATTTCATGCCAGAACTCTAGCGCTCAAAGAGGTGACTAGGAAGTTTAAAATACTGGCCGAAAAGTCATTAAAGGAGTAATTGACACATGAGGGTTCATTTCGCCAGACAATCCTGGCGTCCTATAAACAATTACATATACTAAGTGACATATAAATCCGAACACCCAGTTTAAATGGTTTTATTTTAAAACAAAATTGTGTAAGTACTTAATGAAGCATAATAAGTAAATGATAAACATTTCAAAATGATTGCACTGCTTTAAAGCCCTTTGACCTCTAATAATGTGTGGATGCACCCTGATGTGCTACGCATTCTCCAACGCGCCTAGGCATGCTTCTGATCAGGTGGTCAATGTCCTCCTGTGGTATCTCATTCCAGGCAACCACCAACTCCTCTCGAAGTGCTTCTAGAGTCTGAGGAGGACGTTGCAAATTGAGCAATCTCCTACCCATCATATCCCACACGTGCTCAATTGGGGATAAGTCGGGAGATCTTGGTGGCCATGGTAACAATGTTACATCATTATGTTAAAAGAAGTCTATTGTGACTCTTGCAACATGTAGTCGGGCATTATCTTGTTGGAAAGTTGGATCTGCCAGGGTGTCAAGATAGGGTAAAAGATGGGGTTCTAGAACTTCGTGGATATAACGCTGCGCGTTCATGTTACCTCTGATGAAGATTAAAGGTGACCTGGAACCATAAGCTATAGCACCCCAAACCATAACTCCAACAGTGTGATGAACATGTCTTTCAACAAAAAACTGTGGATTCCTCCTTTCACCACGTCGCCTTCTAACCCTGGCACCGACGTAATCGCCTTGAGTGGTGCAGACAACGGTCACTCTGGGATCAGGAATGGAACTGTATTGTCTTTAGTGACGAGTCTCGATTTTGTTTAGGCATACACGATGGGGTGCTATAGCTTATGGTTCCAGGTCACCTTTAATCTTCATCAGAGGTAACATGAACGCGCAGCGTTATATCCATGAAGTTCTAGAACCCCATCTTTTACCCTATCTTGACACCCTGGCAGATCCAACTTTCCAACAAGATAATGCCCGACCACATGTTGCTAGAGTCACAATAGACTTCTTTCAACATAATGATGTCACATTGTTACCATGGCCACCAAGATCTCCCGACTTATCAACAATTGAGCACGTGTGGGATATGATGGGTAGGAGATTGCTCAATGTGCAACGTCCTCCTAAGACTCTAGAAGCACTTCGAGAGGAGTTGGTGGTTGCCTGGAATGAGATACCACAGGAGGACATTGACCACCTGATCAGAAGCATGCCTAGGCGCGTTGGAGAATGCGTAGCACATCAGGGTGCATCCACACATTATAAAGGTCAAAGGGCTTTAAAGCAGTGCAATCATTTTGAAATTTTTATCATTTACTTATTATGCTTCATTAAGTACTTATACAAAATTTTATTAAAATAAAACCATTTAAACTGGGTGTTCGGATTTATATGTCACTTAGTATATTTTTGTAACATTTTGGCATCGTGATGTAAAATGAAATACTTTTTTCATCGGTCATTTTATGAATGTATAGACCCAAGAAATACAGTGACATATTCATTAGATTCTCGTTGATGTTCCCTTGCGGAGAATTTCTTGAATGGCGTTTCAAAACTTAGGTCATCTACCAACTTGGGACTTCTCCCGAGTATGTACATATTTGCTGCTGGAATTCTTTTAATGATGATCCTGCAGTAATAAAAAATTGTTGACGTAACTACTAGGGATTTTTCATCACTTTCTGTCTTCAAAATCGTGCAAATATTCCAATTCCATAAAATTTCATTATTACAAACCGAAACTTCTAATATTAACTTTTAATATGATATTCGACACGACATACAAAGCCTTTTCAATTAATATAAATGAGAATTAAATAATATTACTTAAATTAGTAATACTACCTTGATCAAAAAGTTCTAGGAATGGTCGCCGTGTGGCGCTCGTGGCACTTCGCTGTCAATTCTGTTTGTTCTGTTGTCAAAGCTACGTCGAGTTGAGCAGATGTGCCTTTGAACGTGTTCAAGATTTATTAGGATTTTTACAATGGATCTGAATGAACAATAACGCGTTTGCATTAAATTTGGTGTTAAAAGCAATATCAACAGTACGAAAACCTTGAAAGTGCTAGGAAAATGCTTTGGCAATGATGCTTTGAAGAAAACAGCCGTTTTCGACGGGTCACAGAAGGTCGTCAGTCCATCGCCAATGATGAGCGCAGCGGCAGGCCATCGACATCGAAAACAGAAGAAAACGTTGACAAAGTGAAAAAAATGTTGGCCACCAACCGCAAATTAACTGTCAGAGAGATGGCAGAGGACTTGAGCATTGCTACTGGTTCCATCCAACGCACTTTGGTCAAGGATTTGGGTGTCCGTTGTGTTGCAGTCAAGTTGGTGACAAAAGAGTTGAATTTCATACAAAAAAATAACCGTGTTGATATCGCCAAAGACATGATTTCCATGGCTGATTCTGGCCAAACATTTACACAATGGATCATTACTGGAGACGAGACATTGGTTTATGGGTACAACACGCAGTCAAGAAGTCAAGACATCAGGCGAGTGAATGGCGCGCGCCGGATGAGCCGAGACCGCAGAAACAGCGATATTCCTAATGAAAAAAAGGTAATGCTCACTGTTCTCATAGACTACTACCGCCCGATGAATAGTGAATTCTTGCCAGAAGGTTAGACTGTTAACAAGTAGTACTATTTGGGTGTTTTCAGACGTGTGCGTGAATCAATCTATCAAAAACGCAAGCATTTGTGGGCAAAAAACTCGTGGATCTTGCACCACGATAACGCACCATCGCACAGTGCCACAATTATCCGTAAGTTTTTGGCCAAAAACAGCACAAATACGATTCAACAACCACCCAATCCACTTGATTTGGCCCCCTGTGACTTCTTCTTGATCAACGGAAACAAAAAGCCACTGAGAGGATCCCGTTTCAGCAGCCGAGAGGCGATAATGGAAAAATCGAAGATAGCCCTAATAGAGATACTTAACATCGAGTTAAAAATGTTTCGAGGACTGAATCAAGCGTTGGCGTAATTGCATTGCAGTCAATGGCGACTACTTTGAAGGGGGCAGTATCGATTTTGAACAATAAACTTCTATTGTTTATTTTTTTAATAAACTCCGGTAACTTGTGGTATGATGAATAATTCGGAAATTCCTCAACGGACAAAATTCAATAAACATTCTTGCGGAATAATTCTTTCTCAAAATAACCCAAAATTTGTGACTGAGGCTTATTTATAATGATGATGTATAAAAAATAAAAAGCCTTCAGAGTACATCTTCCAAATTGGTTTGTATTTAAAAAAAGTTCCGGCACTTTGAATCAATCCAGCTTATTTCCTACTGTACTCCGCGTTAGCTATTCGACCATTTTCTGTTACGGTACCATAGGTAGGAATTTTGTCGATCAATCATTTTTTAATAACACTTTGTTTATTTTGTCAATAATGTGTTTCGGAAGCAACATTAGTATAACTGGCCTATCATCCAATATGATCATCCATTACGTATTCATAGAGATACAATTGCTTCTTATTAATTCCATTAAAAATGCTCAATCGCCTCTTAAAACCCGAACTCGGCTCACTTCGAGACATTCGTACGACGTGTTTATGCAGCAAATTCCGGTAGTTTATGTGCATCATTGTCTCGTTTTCGTAGCCTGGTAATTCTGGCTTTATCGACACGTGCCTCCACGCTATATGTAAAACAGTTGCTAATTTCACCACTAATTGCGGAAATTTCGCAGAATGTAGGTGATCCGATAAATTGGATTTGCAGGCGCCAAATTAGGCTCATTTGTTTTCCTGTACAATATCGTAGAAAGCTTTGCGGACGAGCCACAGACTACAAAGCTAGAGTCGATGCAGCAGTATGCTTATAGTTCGGAAAGCTGTAAGCTTTTATACAAAGTACAAGGTCTCGAGGATGCAGGCAAAGAACGTGATTCTTTGATTAAGTCAAGCGTTCGAAAATGTTTATTTTCTTCGTTAAGACATACTTCAAAAAATATTGAGTTGAATTAAAATCATTAGAATAGCAATAAAAATACTAGACACAACGTGAGTTCCTCTTTCAGGTTGAGCAATCCAAATAACAAAAGAAACAGAAGAAAACCATTAAGCAACTTACAATATAAAAAACATACATAACATAAAAGCTTTCAAGTTATGCAATTTCCATACTATATAGGCGGAAAGATTAAATAAAAATTGACATGGCGGATGCTGATCGAATTTCAAGCAGGAGGAAACGTAATTGCTAATGAGCAATTTACAATGTTTCCAAAATCGAGAGGAGAGTGACCAACAAGCTCGCATGTACACATTCGGAGATAGAGAGAGAAAAATTTTGAGAGCATTTTGTTGGAAAGTATGTACACTGGTGGACAAAATTGCTGTTACATGCAATTCCGATTTTAACTAAAACCAGAAACAAATTATTGATTGAAAAAGTAATACTTGAAAGGTTACTGTGGAAACATTAAATTGATTGAAACAAACATACTCTGTTTTCTTGCGTCCGATCAAAGACAGCTAACTATGAACAGTTGTTTCGTGCTTCTTGGCTACCGCTTAGCATTATCTAGCCCTAGGTCTCTGGAGCAGCGAACAAAAGCACAGCAGCAATACACTATAAAAGTGTGAGTTCTATTAAAACAAGGCAACTCGAGGCACCATCTGCCACTAGAACCAACCCATGCGAAACTACCAGTTGGGATTGTATAATCTGTCTGCGAATTGGAGGCCCAGTCACCACGTGACCGCTAGATGGTGAGCATTCTAGCTGTACAGTAAATGTAGTCCGCTTGCCATTGAACAAAATAAACATGCTCTGCTTTCGAAAGCTAGCAACGACACCCTATCAAAAGTGTGAGATATATCGGAATAAAACAGCGCGAAGCGCCATCTCCTACTAAAAATGACTGCAAACAATGAATCACAACCTACCGGTCGGGACTGAAGCGGTCTGGGTCCGCGAACTGGATGCCCAGTCACCACTAGACGGCGACGATTCTAGCTGTGAAGTTAGTAGATGTAGTAGTAGGGCATTCTTTACAGAAACTTGCCAAAAGGCCAAAAAGGCCGAAACAGCTGTCCATGGTTAGCTGTCTTTGGTCGGATAGACGAAAGCAGATTATGTTCATTTTGTTAAATGGCAAGTGGACCACACCTGCTTCATAGAATCGGCACCATCTAGCGGTCACATGGTGACTGGCCCTCCAGTTAGCGGACTGAACCTCTATAATCCCAACTGGTTAGCTGCGATTCACCGTTAGCAAAGGTCGATTGTGAGTGGTAGATGGCGCTCAGCGCTGTCTTAGTACATATATATTGATCAAGAGCTACTATAATCAGTTATGAATCATTATTCACAAGTGGTTTTACTCTTGAGCTCCAAACAACTGAGGCTACCGAGTACAGACATGCTCATTGTTGTAATCTGAAGTAATGCTGTTTCACGGAAACTTTGAATAGTGCCCTAATGGTTGTGAACCATACTTATGTCTTTTTGATGCGGAAGATTGTATTAGGAGTTGTTGCGGAAGCGAGGGAAGTATAGAGTCAATCTGCTTGACGGAATTTTCGGATGATCGTGCTGTATTAAAAACATCATAACTTTGGCTATCTAGCAAGTCCTGAGAGCTTATTACATTTGTCTCTCAATTGTCGTGTTCACTACTACATTTTATGCTCCTGTATATGAACCAGTCAGGGAAATATGCAAAAAAAAGTTTATCGTTGACTGTTTTGCGTAAGGCAGATACGCAAAGGACGCGTCAGTCTACACATACAGAAGCCTGTCAAATTATTTTTGCTTCCATTGTTAATCTGGAACACGTTATATTCATATTACCGGCCAGTCCACATGACTCACAATTCCTTTTACTTTCAGATGGAAGCTGCAACCGAATCCACAACAGAAGATTACCCGACCAATCTGACAATCGATGACGACCCGTTTGGAGATGACTACACCAGCGTATCGGAGGACCTTTTCTACTACTATTACTATTATGACGTCATCGTTCTTATCCTGAGACTGATCCTTTGCGTCCTTTTTGTTTCTGCCAGCATATTCTTGGCGATCGTTATTCTAAGGTTCAAGCGACTGCACACCAGGAGCAACATCTACATTCTACACATGTGCTTTCTGCACGTGTTCGTTTACACGCTACCTCTGTTGTATTTCATCATTTATGTGATGATAAGAGGACATCTACATGAATCAGCATTTTTCCAAACACTCAGTACGACACTTTCATTATACATAACCATTGGTTTTTTGTTAGGCGTCGATTGGTTCGTGTTTGCACGAAAGCCAAATTGGGTAGGTACTTATGATAGGTACTTCAAGTATGTTTTGGCCTTTGTATATCTAATCTTTATACTAGAATGGGCAGTAGCCTTTTTTTACTCCAGAGTGTATCACTTAGTTGTACTTAGGTCTTTAGTATTCTCTATATTTTATATTTTATATATTACGGTGTTGATAGTATTGAATATCCTGAAGAGGTGGCTGTTTTTGACATCAGCGTCCAAAAGGACTGAGTATGCTTTTATCGTATCAAATATCACGCTATTCAGTTTCCTTCCATTGTTGATTTTTCACACAATCAATGAATTTACTCTACATGTAAGTCCCTATTTTAATCTTTTCATGCATTATTTGGAACCTGTTCCTTCGACCATAGCTCTTGGCCATCCAATTTTGATTGTGCATTTGCTAGGAAAGGAGAATAAATATTTCAGGATGGCGTATAGCAAAATGTTCAAAAGATCGCTTAGAAACTACATTGATGACAATTTGGACGATTCTTCAGATCGGGGTAACGACAGTAGCGCAAATCTGATCACAGAAACTAGGATAGATCTCAATAGATAAGACGATGCTTGATCAACGTAATACTACAGTTTGAGCTGATTTGAGATGGAATCAGAAATATCTGTTTGTTTAAGCTGTGAATATGGTTATGAATACAATATAAGTTGATGGGCATTATCTGGGTCAAGTCCTTGCTTTTACTGAATACCATGTAACACAAGTCCATAAAATTTATGAAAGAATTCGCTAACGAACAGCTAATAAAGAGCGGTAGCTTTCCCTAATAAACATAAAACTCATCCATCATTATAAATCTTCTAGTATTTAGAAACATGAGTGTATACTATTCTTGATCAGTTAACTTGTAGTATCTTGAATAAAGAAGCTTAAATATGAAAAAATGGGTCGCTTATCCGCTTTCATTCAGACATCTGGGGATAAATATGCGTTATTATGTAATAAAGTTATACCAAGACAGCCCTTGAATTAAATTCACGAAAAAACTGTAATTTAGCTTTTTGAAACCGAAAGTAAAGTGCGTTTAGCTGAAAAACGACGGTAAGGGACATTATTTCTGTGTAAGGCTTTACTGTAACTACATATCTACTTCTTAGAACTTATAACAAGTGTATAATAAATTATTGTGTATACATGTATTTTGTTTAATGTATATAAACATAGACTTATTACATTATCGACAACAAAGCTTTTGTTTTTAAGATGCATCTGAGTTAAGTAGGCAGATCTTTATCATGTACAGTATGTGTTAAATACGTATCCAAACTTGCCGATGTCATTAATAATTAATTGCAAAGAGTGTTGCCATGACTATACTGGATAATTAAATTGCGGCACTTCGAGATTAGTGGTGAAGCTTCTTTGTCTAATAAACACTTAATGAGATTAAGCGTACTGTACTGTATAACTTAATTAAATCAAGAGATATCACCCAGTTGATCAATTTTAATGACCGCGAAATGAAAATCTACCCCTTGCCAAGCATTGTTCCTGCCTGTCTTGTAGGTCCCCACCTGTCAACTTATCTTTTGATATGAAATTGTAGTTTAAAATCAGTTCAGACTTAAGACTTTGCTAAAGTTGTAATACCGCTCTTCACGCCACACTGGTCAAATTTCTTCCTACAACACGTTCAACAGCTTCCATATTACAAGGTGAACAAGAATTCACATTCAAGAATAGTACAGAGATCCGGCCCTGCCTCTTTACCGAGTCGCAGCAGTTTAATCGGGCTCTTGAAAAAGTTTAATTTCTACCAGTAAAACAACGTAATTTGTGCATAGTGACATATCCATACCATCAAGATAGAAGCCAGCAGCCTACTGTGAGTAAGAAACCATCGAATTTTCATCGATATTCCGCTGTTGAAGCAATACAGCAGTGTGTGCTAGCCACAGTGCTGAGATTTCCTCCTGCGTTTGTGGAATTCACGTCGCACAAAAAGTCTCCTTCATCGTCGTGTTACAAAACACAGTACCGTACTCAGATATGGTCACAGCACATCTGAAAGAAGGCAACTGAACCAAGAAAGATGTCTCTCCAAAGTATTCCTACAACATCAACAAATATCACCAATGTTCCATCTTATTCTACTGTACTAAATCAGCCAGTCACTTACAAGCATCCCAATAAAGATCAAGCCATCGTTTTCAATTCCATCGAGGGTACCAGGATACAAGATTACCTCTTGGAGCTGGGCCCCATAGTAGATCCAAAAAATATAATATTCTGCTCCAGGATTTCAAATAACCGTATATGCATTTATTTCTCCAACAAGCAAATAGTCGACAAATTTCTCAATAATCCTGGAAAAATCGAATTGCAAGGACAAGTTGCACATGCACGGCGACTAGTAGCACCTGCAGATAGATTAGTCATCTCAAATGTCTGCCCCACAATACCGCACGCAAAAATCAAAGATAGCATACAACGTATAGGCATCAAAACAGTTTCGCCTATTTCATTTCCGAAGATCGGCGCACCTCTTCCTGAATATAATCATATTTTAAGTTTCCGAAGACAGGTATATATTGAACCGCTAGAATCTGAAATTCCCAATTCTCTAGAAATCAGCCACGATGACCTTACGTATCGAGTATTCTTATCTCTTGATAGTCAAAGCTGCTTCAAATGCAAAATGTCAGGTCACATTGCTTCTCGATGTCCAGCGTCCTCCAACTCTTCATCCACAACACAAACGCTTAATGAAACCCCAAGCCCAACTACAACCTCAGCAACTGCTCAGCCAATAAATGACCCATCAGAGACCAGCGCTACCGCACTTAATTTGGCGCAGGCAGAATCTTCGATGTCAACAGTAACCTCCGTAAATTCGATAAATACAACTAGTGCAAACAACAAGAGAAGCATTTCCGAAATAACAACTCCAACTTCGGAAGCAACACCCTTCACAGATCCCAACTTAATGCCAGAACTTGTTATACCCATACAAAATCCAAAGAAAAAGCCAAAATCAGACCCTACGCACTCATATATTCTAGACGACAATATGGAATCAGTAAAATTGCTCATAAATAGCAGCGATGAGAACTACATCCTCGACTATAATCAGCTGAAAAGCCTCCTTGAGAATACCCATGGTGCAAAAGACACAATAAGCATTGTTCACGAGTACACAGCAGATATAAAATCACTCATTGAAATGCTCTTAACAATTTATCCTCATATAAAAGACAAAACAATAAAAAACCGCGTAACCATACTGAGGAAAAAACTAGAACGCCATTTAGAGAATAAATCTAACGATTCTTATGACGAAACCTCTTCAGTGGACTCCACATTTTAATATGCTATCATTCAACACTATTATCCAGTGGAACGTAAATGGATACTTCTGCCACCTGAATATGCTAAAGCTTCTGATATCCTCCAAAAACCCAGATATTATGTGTATACAGGAGACCCACTTCCGAGGAAACCAATCACATACTCCTAAGCATTACCAAGGTTTCTTCAAAAATCGCGCACAAGACACAGCTAGTGGAGGAGTGTCTATTTATGTGAAAAAAGAAATACCGGTGATGCAGCTCAACCTCAAAAGTAATTTGGAAGTAATAGCAGTCTCGTTAGAAGCTCCAAAAAAGATCAACATATGTAATTTGTATATCCCTCCAGACTATCACCTAGAAGCGGCAGAACTGGAAGCACTGTTAGATCAAATTCCATCTCCAAGAATACTGTTAGGTGATTTCAATGCACATAACTTCGCCTGGGGATCACACAAGAATGATATTCGTGGCAAAATAATAAGCGACGTCATAGATGGATCCAACCTGTCTATACTCAACAACGGAAATGCAACTCGATTTAATGCAGCTAATGGCAACTTTTCCGCAATTGACATAACTCTATGCTCACCCAACCTTATCACACAGCTGGAATGGGACACAACGGATGACCTTTACAGCAGCGATCATTATCCAGTAATCGTGACGAATACGAAACAGATAACTGACACCCCTACAGAAGTATCAAAATGGAACCTGAAACTTGCAAATTGGCAGCATTTCTCAGACTATATTGAAGAAAACCTTCAAAAAGCAGTGATAAGCGTTGACATAGATTTAACAATAGAAAACTTTAATAACCTAATAATAGAAGCGGCACATTTGAGCATAGGAAAAACAAAACATATGAATAATAATCACAATCCAGTTCCTTGGTGGAACAAAGACTGCGAAATGGCGATAAAAGATAGTAAACACGCATTCAATAGACTTAAGAAACACAATACTCCTGAAAACCTGAAAGACTTTAAACTGAAAAGAGCTCGAGCACGCTTATCTATAAATAAACACCAAAAAGAGTCCTGGCAAAATTACGTTAGCAGCATTAATAGCTCCACCCCCCTCTCTAAAGTATGGAAGAAAGTCCAAAACATATCAGGAGACAAGTCATACAGTCGTATAAAAGCCATTAAAGACGGGCAAGCACTCTACACAGAAAACGACAAAATTGCAGAAAGCCTATCTAAAGTTTATTATCAGAAATCTAGTAATGAGAGCTACTGTCAAGATTTCCTCGCATATAAACAACAGGAAGAAGCTACTCACATAAACATAACCCAAGATAACACTAATCCTGTAAATTCCCTTTTAACAACAGCCGAATTTGAAGAAGCACTAAATGACCTGAAAGATACGTCCTCAGGCCCAGATGATATACCCCCTATCTTTCTGAAATATCTTCCAGCAAACGCCAAAAACCATCTCCTACAAATATACAATATACTCTGGATACAACATGTATTTCCTAGCTTATGGAGGCAGGCCATTGTTATACCTATTCTCAAACCTAATAAATCATCACTCGACCCACAGTCATACAGACCCATTTCATTAACTTGCGCAATGTGCAAACTCTTAGAAAAAATTATAAACCGTAGGCTCATTTGGAGCTTAGATCAAAAACAGTTACTCGCTGGCGAACAATCTGGATTCAGAACCAACAGATCCACGTTAGACAATATAATTGACCTGGAAAATCATATACATGAAGCGTTTGACAATAGACAATACTCACTAGCTATATATTTTGATATAGACCGCGCCTTTGATACTGCGTGGAGGCACAAAATCACAACAACGCTGAAAAAATGGGGCTACAACGGAAATATACTGGCATTCATTTTGAACTTCTTACGTGATAGAGTCTTCCGAGTAAGAGCCAATGGAGTCTTGTCTACACAAAGAAACCAAGAAAATGGAATACCCCAGGGCTCAATCATTAGCCCCACGCTGTTTCTTATCGCTATAAATGACCTTTTGGATGCGATTAATAAGCCAATACAAGTGAGATTATACGCCGACGACATGATCTTGTATCTAAAAGAAAGACATCTCGATACAGCTAAGAATTTACTACAGATACAACTAGATAAATTATTGGAATGGTCCAAACAATCAGGATTTACCTTTTCGCCAGAGAAAACTAACTGTATAATATTTTCGAAGAAACCAGTAAGGTGCAAGCCAAATCTAAAGTACAATAATATTCAACTCCATTACACAACAGAAATAAAATTTCTTGGCATTATATTTGATCAACACTTGAACTGGAAACCACACATCCGAGAACTGATTAAATCCTGCCAAAAAGCAATCAACTTACTGAAATGTTTAGCAAACAAACGATGGGGGGCTGATGGACCTACACTTTTATACCTCTACAGGTCCCTAATCCGATCAAAAATTGATTATGGATGTATAGCATACGCATCGGCAACAAATTCGACCCTTAAACAACTAAATGTCCTGCACAATAATGCTCTGCGCCTTATACTTGGTGTTTTTAGGACCACACCATGTGACAGCCTATACTGTGAAGCTGGCGAGGCACCGCTCTACCTCAGACGTCAGATCTTGAGTCTTTCATATGCAACCAGAGTTCACTCTAATCCAGCAATTCCTATCCATAGTCGACTAGTAGCTACTATGTCACAGAATGGCATGAATATAACAAGAAGGGGCTCTTTCTGCCAGAGAACAAGTTTGCGTCTCAGATCACTAAACATATCGTTCCCCCCTACCTATCGCACTTCAGCATCCTCTGTCCCACCTTGGCTGATCAACTTACCTGACATCAATACCAGGATGACAAAGCTTAACAAGCACGATGTACCTCACGAACTAATAAGACAGCGCTTCAATCAGCTTATGCAGGAACATTTGGAACACCAAAAAATTTACACAGATGCAGCTAAAGTAAACTACAAAACAGGCGCAGCAGTCATCACACCGACCACTATTATTGCTACGAGATTACCAGATGAAGCTACAATTTGCACGGGTGAACTTCATGCTATAATGGAAGCTCTCCAACATATCACAGAGAAGGCAGCTACAAACTGGGTAATAATATCCGATTCACTGAGCTCACTCACAATGATTGGACGAGTTTACGTGAGTAACCCGTTGGTGATCAGTATCAAGGAGCATTTACAT